AGAGACAGAGAGAGACAGAGACAGAGACAGAGAGAAAGACAGAGAGAGAGAGGAAGAAAAACTTGAAGAAGAAGAAGAAAAAGAAGAGCGGTCGTCCGGCATAAGTATGTCGGCCAATGACCCATCTAACCCCACGCAAGGGGGTATCGTCGACAATGCACCGACTACTGACGTGCCAACAAACCCGCCGACGTCCTCAAATGCAGAGCCAGGCGAGCCGATCGATCAGTCCACCGTAGTGCAGGGGGGTGGGCACGACCATTTCCCAGGTTGGGGAACGCTTACTCTTGTTCCTGACCCCGAAGTCATCTGGGGTGGTTTGACAACTACCACGAACGGCGATGGCTGGGGAGACGGGCACGGCTATGGTGGACCGAGGTGGGATGCAGAGCCCACGACCTCCGGCCAGGGGTCTGCAACGTCATGGGGTGAGGGGTCTATTGCCATGAACGGCTCGAACTTCAGTCCACCTACCTCCGGTGAGGAAGGAGGTGAAGATGGTGGGGGGGGTGGATCCGATGATGAGGATTAGAAAGTCTGCCATGTGGCAGCCTTTCTAATCAATCAATCAGTCAATCAATCAATCAATCAATCAATCAATTAATCAATCAATCAATCGATCGATTAAACTAATCGATTCATTGATTCATTAATTGATCGATCGATCCATCGATTGATTGAAAGATTTAATCGATTAATCGATCGATTGAAAGATTAATCGATTAATTGATCGACTGATCGATTCGTGAGAGAGAGAGAGAAAGAGCTCGCGAACGGGAACCATCGTCGTCATCCCCAAAAGAGAGAGAGAGAGAGAAAGAGAGAGAGAGAGAGAGAGAGAGAGAGAGAGAGAGAGAGTTCGCGAGCGGGGGACCATCTGCGTCATATCACATCAGCATCGACAGATCACCCAACTGTTGCGCCCCACATCAACGCGGACAGCGATTGGCCATGTCAGCGTCACAACTCGTGCGCGGAGACCGATTGGCCACGTCAGCGCGGATAGAGAGAGAGACTGAGATGGATAGATGGAGAGAGAGAGAGAGAGAGAGAGAGAGAGAGAGAGAGAGAGAGAGAGAGAGAGAGAGAGAGAGACAAAGATTTGTGAAATTGCGATTCGTCCACATGTACAGAGCGACCACATTTGTTCACGGCATTCTCATCTCCTTCCCCCTCTTCGTCTCATTCCCCTCCTCCTCATCCGTGGTTGATCTGAGTCTGGCGCTTTCTTGCTCTGTTCAGCGTCAGGCTCCTCACACTATGCGATGTTGATGATGTATATATGGTTGCGTTTCGCGGGGAGATACGGGCGGGGGGGGGCCGGG